AATTTGGGTTCCTGTGGTAATAAAAGCATTTGTAACCATAGATGGACTGTGAGCATTTATATTTCACTGATGATGTAAAGAAACAGTTTGTATTTAAAGCATTTTCTGCCCGAGTCCCTCAGAGCGCATTACCCAGTATTAAAATCAAAGCTCACTGCTGTCACCCACATGTCAAGTTAATCAAGTATCGCTGTCATCCTACACTTGTGTGGGAAGAAGGGACCAGCATTTTATGTTGTCCGGTACTTCCTAAACTGTGGCTCACAGAAGCAGAGCTGGGGAGGTTATGAAGTCCGAGAGGCTGACAGCTCGGTTAGCACTGCCTGGGTGGAGGGTGCGGGGGCTCTGCTCGCTAACCGAAAAGCTTGCCTTGCAAGGGAATTGCTAACTGCCTTTGGCTGCTGGGAGCAGCTCAGTTGCTTCAGCGTGAGAAAGCAAGTGGGAGGCTTGCAGCTGGCAACTTTTGACAGGTTGCCGTTGTCCGGCTGTGGAGTAACCAAACCTCTGTTAACTTGCACAGAGAAAGATGAGTAAAAGCAGGCTGTGCTCTGAAAAGCTGGAGAAACTGCCTGACCTTGTGCATAGCACAGACTGTAATCTTGTCTTTGTGCCTCTACGCTAAACCCAGGGGGGCACCTGAGGAAATGGTAGGCTATGTCTTACTCTAGCTTTTGTGGCAGTTTTTGACTGGAGCTAGTAAGAAGTTGGGTCTTCCGACACTTCACGGGGTTGGTCTTCTGACACCTCACGGGGTTTGTGTTCTGACCTGTGTTTTTTCTCTGAGTGTTAGAGTACTAGAGCAGTGAGCCTTGGCTGCTTGGCTTGTTATCCAGGCTGTGTCAGAGTCTCATGCTCCTCCAGAAAGCTGAACTGGTCTCACACTTTCAAATATAGATTTCAGCATCGGTGTTGAGGATTGTAGGGGTCCTGTCATGGCCATGCTTTCACTGCCTCCTTTCATACAAAAGAGTCCTTTAGAAATAGCGTTTGCTCTCTTGACTTTTCATTTAGCGGAAGTGTGAATATAAATGAACAGGAATATGTGTGCAATGATTTTAATATTAGTAAGGAATAAGTTGCTGCCTGTGAGAGCTGCTTCTGTTGTTGCAAATGTTGCTGAATCCCATTGAGAGGAAACGGAAACCTGGTGCAGTGTTAGGAACAAAAGAAATTTTACCCGGTGTACAAAGCTTTGAACTATGCATGTAACATGAAGTCTTTTTTGTCTACATTTGCCCTTGTAAGATCACCACCACCTGTTTAGATTTTAAATGTGTTGAGTCTGTGGTGGTTTTTTTTGTTTAAGTTTCTTAAGTATAAACTTCATGTGCCTTGAAGTTGCCCAGTCTCTGTTTAGACCTCTGTGAAGGCTCAAGAGAGCAAAATTATTTAATTGAAATGGAAGAGCAGCTTTGGTCTTGTATTTGGCACTGCAGGACTCGAAGTGCTTAAACAGTTGTTGTTACAGCACCCCTCTGTGGAAGCAGGTGGCGTTCATAGACAAATAGGGGACGGAAAAGTTGCAGATTTTAGATTTTTCTGTTAGAATTAGCTGCATCAGTGTCGATGTCTTTGAAATGTTGGACTTAGGGGTGCCAGTTGCTCCAAGTTCTCCCTGGCTGTAGCTTCAGTAAGTATTGTTTCCATGGAACTGTTTCCATGGAACTGTTTCCCAGTTGGAGACCAAAGTGAATGACTCCGTCTGAAAACTTCTGCCAAAATGGCTTGTGTGGAGGCTGAGTTTCAGATCTCTAGCGCTAAGGTTGCTTGAATTTCAGTGACCTGCTTTGACAAGTCATGTTGGTTTTTATCGTGTATTGCAATCCCACAGCTACTACTTAAATGAGTCTTGGGCACATGGAAAGAAAGAATCAGGTAGCATCTTTATATTAATGCTTTGTCCTCTTTCCTTGTAGGAGAACCACATCCATGACAAGCTGGTATCTCTTAGTTTGCTTCAGAAAGACTTTGTGCCTTTTCTGCTAAATTTTTTAAGGGAGCAGACCAGCCAGATCCTGACTAACGGACCCTCTACTCCTGCTAAAACTCCTAATTCCAAGGCCCACGGGAGCCAAAGGACAGGATCAGAAAGGAGGGCAGGCCACACAACCAGCAGCCGAGTGCAGCTTTTTTCCCAAAGGACTTCGGTGACCACCTGCACCACAGATACCAGCTTTTCTCCTGCTGTGGTATCCAGTGGCTCCTCTTCCTTTTCTGGGTCAAACCTGTCTAGCCCTTGTGGTGACTTTCCTAGCATGGTCTCCAGTAGCAGCCCAAGCTTTGGGTACAGCCCTGTGCTTAACCACGGTGAGAAGCGGTCATCTCAGAAGGCGAGCTTGGGGAGCTTCCTTACAGCCACGCCTGAAGCCCTGCCAGCGAGACGAGGCCGAAGGAAAGGCAACAGCTCAGTCAGTGCCTCTGGACGGCAGGTAGCTCGGGATCTGGGGCGTTCCCTTGCTGAAGAGGAAGATGGAAAGAATGACAGTGTATCGTGGAGCGGAGGGAGAAGGAAGCGGAGTGAAGTGCCTCTTGTTTCTGCCAGATCCCCACCCAGCCAGCTAAATCTTAACAACCTGGAGGAGTTTCCGCCCATGGGTGCTGCCTCTGGCTGGACAAAGTAAGAGCAAGTCTGTCTCATTCGGATTGTGCTGCAGGGTACTGTTCCTTGATTAGCTCATCCTGTCGTGCGTGTCCAGATAGAGAAGATGCTGTAATAAACAATATCTGGGGGCTGGCTTCTGGGCTCCTTAGTCAGAACTGCTTTGCCATATAGGGGAATATTACTTCAACAGGTAGTCAGGTTTCCAGTCTGTGAACTCACCCGAGATGCCTCTTAGGCCTTTCTCTTGTGATGCTGCCTACCGGTGCACAGACAGCTGATACAAAGCTGACCACATCTTTGTCCTTGCACGTTCTAACAAGTCAGCATTATCTTGGCTCTTCACGTTTCTCATTTAACACAATAGCAATTGCTAATGAAGAGCAGTCCTGGAAGGCTCTTCAGCTTTACTGGAGCTAGCAAAAAAGCTTTTGGATTGACGTTCTCTGACTTCTGGTAACAGATGTTAGCATGCAGCTTCATTTGTGCCGTGTGGTCACGGACAAAATAGCTAGCTGATGCCTGTATTCTTTTTGGTCTGCAGCAAGCCCTGGTCTCCCTGGTGACTTTGGCTTAGCTTCTGGGCAGCTGTTTGTGTTGTGGTTGCCTCAGTCCTTTTCTCTTTCTCTTTGAGGTTTTACTCTTTAAAATCCTCATTACCTCATGTCAGTCTGTTTGCTCCATATATCAGGCACTGGTGTCTGAAAGTGGGACTTTCTAGTTGGACATGCAAAATTCCAGCTGAAAATTGGTAGGTCTGTGGGTCTGTAGAGATGCTGGGTCTAGATGATGCTTTGGCCAAGGGAGATAAGGTGTGTTTCCAGCATAGACAGTAAGTCTCTCTTCCTCAATTGCGCTAGGCCCAACTAGGAGAAAGAGTGAGGAAAGGGGTCACGGAGTGGTTGGAAGCCAATGCTATAGCAATTTTGAGAACACCATAGCAGTTAATATGTAGCAACCAGCATTTTCTTGAGAAGTATAATGCTTTATGTTCCTGTATCTTATTTCCAGTATGTCTTTTACTGCATTACAGAGCCTCTTCCTGAAGGACAAATCTAGGTAGTTTATGCAGGAAGGATGGGTTTCCCTAAACTTAAAGGGCCTATGGTAACTCAGGAGCCTGGACTCTTACTGATAGACAATGGCAGCTTGATGGTTTTTGTTGGTTTGGTTTTTGGGGGTTTTTTTTTTTTTCCCCTCATGGTCGTGTTAGAAACTGCTGGTGAATTAGTTTCTTGCTAAAATGAGGCATATCCTGTCCTCTCAAATTAGAAATGTTTGGAAGAGTTGTGTGGCGCTGTGTTATCTGTTCTGTGATTGATAATTAATTTTGCAGCAAGGATCAGCAGGCTGTTTTTAGCAGTCTGTAGCTTTGTGACTTTTTATTCAGTAACCAGAAAAAAGTCCGCAACTATATGTACGGTTTAGAAATTCAATATCCTGACTCCATATCCGTTTTATTTTAGCATTAGGTTCTTCTGGAAGAGTTGCATGCCTGTCTGTCCTGAGACCTAATTTTTCTGTGGTTTAGCTTGATTTCAGTGGAATCGCTTCTCACTTTTTCAGCAAAAGCAAACCATCAAGGCGAATCAACCCAACTCCTGTAAGTGCTGAGCGCCCCCTCTCAAAACCAAAGATGTGCTTCACCTCCACGCCTGTCAGCCAGTCTCCAGCTGCTCGGTTTTCATCTGGGTCAAGCCTCGAGGCCTTTACTACTGTCCAGGAAGGAAGCCTTACATCTGTGATAAGCAACAGCCTTCAAGAGGAGAGGGAGATGCTAAAGAAAGAACGGTACAGTCTGAGCAGGCTGGAGACAGGCTTGTGTTGATTCTTAATTCTCTTGTCTTAAGATGGTACTAACATCAGAGTGGAAATGACCAGAAGAATATCCAAAACAGATTTGATGACCTTAAACTATAATTTGCCTAAAACCAAGTGTGACTTTGGTATCAGACTAGGATATTAATGCAGCTAGCTCATGTTTGTCATTTTGGAAGTGCGCTAACTCTGGAACAATGACCCTCACTTTATCTTCAGAAGTTTAGTCAGTCCTCACTGCTTTCATAAGATTGCCTCTTCATGGGCTTGCACACGTGGTTATCTCCTTAGATAGCAGCTTCCCTTAGACTGCACAGGTGGAGCGAGTGGGTTTGAGCTGGTGTCACTGGGCTGTGTTTGAAGATTGTGCCTGTGATGGAAGGCGTAGTCTGATTTGAAGAAAATGAGTTAATGATGCAAATGTGGGGAAAGTGTAAATGATTTTGTAAGGTAGGCAGACTAATACAAGCTTGCAGCCAGAGAAAACAGGACATGGATAGCGTGACATTCTGTTTTAAAAGTTACTACTGCAGTTATCTGTTGAAAATTATGTATGCTGGGAGATGAGGTGAATTCGAGCTTCTAATTTTGTCTCTGTTGTTCAGTTACTGTGTGACTTTCATCCTCTGTAAAATGATATCGCTGTTAGTCTGTGAGGATTGATACTTCAGGGGAAAAAAGCAAAGCACAGTAGTAGAGGAACTATCGTTTATAATTGCTGACAGAACTGTTGCTGTTCTTTGCAGATTTTGTTCTTTGGGAAACTCCTCAGGACATGTGGGTGGAATTCTTTTCCTGCTAAGCCTTGCAATTCACTTCAGTGGGTCGAGAACTGCTGAAACAGACCCAGTAGAGTCTCATGAGTTACTCTTTGTACCGGACCTGTAACAGAACTCCGGATTCAAACCTGCCTCTGTGCACTTCCATGAAGCACCTATTCCAGTCTGAATTCTACCTGAAATGTCCCACTAATCTACCTGAAATGTCCCACTAATAAAATAAAGTAGGTGAAATAGCAATATGTGGGATGGATCTTGTCTGTGAAGTGATCTCATTTGACCCATCACGCTTGAAATGGGCAGTGTTTGGCGCTCAGAGCTAGGAGCTGCTCTTGGGTCCTCAGTAGTGGTGAAATGAGGTACAAAACTAACGCAGCCTCCAGCCAACTGGGTCACTTGAAGCAAGGGCAAAAGGTGAAATTCATGCTGAGGTAGATGACAACACTGAGGCAGAAATGAAGCAGAGTCTAACTACATTGTTGGAGTCTTACCTTGGTGCGTTTACAAAGTACTTAGTAAGTAATTTTCTTCAGTTCTGTTAGTCGGGTGCTTATGTTCATTGCAAGGGAGATGATACTAAATAACCTTTCTGCTCCCATTTTGGGACTAATTTGTTCTTCATCGCAGGAGTTCCGCTAGAAATAGGCCAATGGAAAAAGTTCTTTGCTGCAGTTAAAAACGTTTCTGTCTGCCCCTCAGCCTTTAAAGTGACTTTTAAAGATTTTACTTTTGAGACAAAGTGGTAAGAAGTGGTGTGATGTGCCAAGTGTGCATGTTCCATTGGGATCTTTAACAATCATTTGATACTGCTGTTACTGGCTTTTTTCCTGCTTCTTGTGTGTCTTACGTATGCCACTCTGCTGCTGCGTTTTGGATGACCTCTGTAGGTATATTTTTTATTTTTTACAATATCTATGTATTTAACTGAGTGATCATTGTTGATTGAGAATCCAGCAATTAAAGTAGTTTGTTCCTTGTGTCGTATGGGATTTCGTCAGTTATTGCATTGCCTTTTCATTTAGTGGTATTGGATCTTCTCAGGGCGTTGTTAACTTACAAATATATCTGAAGGTACGGATGTGAACCTTATTTTCATAGACTTTGTAAAGTGCCTAGCTATCAGAAATTGTACGTGCAAAAATTTTTTTTACGACCTGGTCTATTAACAGATTCCGTGTCCTTAACAAATATCAGTTTAGGTGAGAAGCAATAACATAGGTTAGTTAGATAATTTGGTCAAAGTGCCACACTGTTTTAGCAGAGTTGGAATTTGAATGTGATTCTTTTGAGTCTTTTGATTGTTAGCCCCAAGATCCTTTCTGATTAAGGGAAAGTTGAGTTAAATTACTGTTAGGCTAAAAGCAGCTTTAGACAGTGTAAATGATATGGTTAGTTATTGCAGGAATTCCTTCATGCCAGACTGCAAGAGAAAGACCTCCTCTGGCTGCGTGTCTGCTGTGTATCATCTTCAGTCACGTAGTATGTTGCTGCTCTTGAATTTCAGATGCAAACTGCTGCACCAGGCGTCTTCTCCTGCAGGGATATCTCTTGATCCTGGTACTCCTACTAAGCCTAGCTACACTTGCTGAAAGCCATCTGGTGACCTGTGCAAATCCTACTAAGGTTTCCTGCAAGAAACAGTTGGAGTGTCTGGCGCAGCTCTATTCATCATGTATAGCAGGTGAGATGTGAGACTGACCTTTCTTTGAGCTTTGAACTTGCATGTGTATTGTGAGGGGGAGGTTATGAGATGTGAAAGTTGTGGGACAGTTACAGTGTACAAACAAATAACATCTGGAAAAATAAACTAAGCCAACACAGTTATTAAAATAAATGGATACTAGGTAAAAGTTTAGGGAAGGAGATTAACCTGATGCAGTACTCTGAGCTGCAGGAGGCTGATGTTGTATGGTCCTATCTGAAACTAGACCCTTCCCTAATACATCTTTCCTGTAATTCCCATATTGATTTACACTGTAGCTGTGTGTGGGGAGTTCTTTGCTGACTGTGCCATAGAACAGTTATCTATCTTTTTACCTTCATTTATTAAAGCAGGTCAATACGGAATATCCACCTTTAGTATCTCATTTCCTCTTTTACAGAAAACCTGGTACCAAATATTTTTCTGGAGCTCTTTTTTGTTCTGCAGCTGTTGACATCTAAAGGCACTTCTACCGCAGAAGAAGGGGACAATGACCTTGAAGTCAGTGAAAGCAGTAAAGGTAATAGTATTGAGCGGAAAGAATGTTACTTCCATGGAATGATAATGTGATATAGAGTAGTTGCCTTTAGCTTGGACAATTAGTTTTAAATTCCACAAAAAGCGCCTTATTACCACTGTGGGACTCATCTGAGATGCTGACAAAAATCATGCGTACATGGGAAGTGCTTCCACAATATGATAGAGCGAGGTTGCTAGATACTGTTTGAATCTAGTTTTCTGCTATTGTGTGAGATTTGCTGTAGCTACTTGCTAACACTGACTTTCAGAGAGAAGTACAGATATGCTAAAGTCTCTCCTCCATTGGTCCTTGCAACTCAAAAGTGCTGTTGATCTGCTATGTGCTTCTTAAATTTAAGGTTAGGTTACAAGTGCACAGGACCATCTATATAGATACGTAATTGTTGCGTTTGTTTTTTGGCAAATTCAGACTTAAACTTGATGCAGTTAGTGCTTTGATATGGATATAAACCCCAAAAAAGTGGCTTTAAGATGAGACAATCCCCCCAAAATGCTCCTATTTGATTGACCTTTGTTTTGCCACTCACTGATTCTTAGGGCTGTGTCCTGAATGAGGAACACGAAGTCTCCGGCTATGGGAACAGCAGCTCATGACTGGTTGCAGTTGGTCTATTTTTTGTCCTGGATCTGCTTACTGTTGGCCAGAACATTGAGAAGGAGTCTTATCTTTCCCATACAGCATTGAACAATTCAGTTGCCTTTAGTATAGGAAGGATAGGGATGGGAGGATTTGTCTATTCCGGTGTCAGGGAATGGGAACTTCTGGAAATTGGATACTGGTCTGGGAGACTGTTTTTGGATATGGCAGTTCCTATTTTCCTTGAGAGCTAATTGTTGGTCTTTTAGTTTGTAAGTGGTGATAGGTGCTGTTGTCTCATGTTTCTTTTTTTTCCTCTTAGATGCATCAGGGATTCAGCATTTCCGAAGTGTGCACAATTGTGTTTATTTTGCTGTTCAAATCTTGGATTATCAGTATGAGTGAGTTGAGGGTTTTTTTTGCCTCTGCTTGTGACTGCAGATGTGTGAGAGATGAAGCAAGTGTGCTTGGATTTTAGAGCTTTGCCACTTACAGGCATGGAGTTGTTAATTTTCCCTCAAAACATACGAATTGGCCTGGATTTGAATGTCTGTGAGTTTTCCTTGCACTGTTCTGTCTACTGAACTTCAGTGTGATTATGCAAGAATGGGAAAGCCATGAGATGAGAGCAATAAAAAATGGCCTTACAGATGCCAGTAGGATTTGATGCTGGGTTGCCTGGGGCTTAGAACTCTTTGCTTGGTAGTCTTCATAAAAAATGAGCGTAAGCATTTCTTTAAGTCTGATCACATGTTGTTTATGTCTGTCTGTCTGTGGGTTTTATCCATGTTGTCTTGGCAGAATTATTTCCCGTTTAGAAAAGGGGACGCTGAAGCTGTTGGCTGAAAACGAACGGATTGCATCTTTTTCTCCTACCTTGCACGAGAGGCTCAGGCAGGCTTATGAAAGCAGCACAGCCAAGGTAAAAATTGGCAGACCTCAACTGATGTTGCTTCATACCTTTGTGTTGTTGCTTTTTTATTTGTGATGGCTTTGATGTTAAATCTCATTCCTTCTACTTTGAGTATCTTGTCATCTCATCTTTGGCAAGTGTCTGAAAGCTACTTTTTTTTCTTGTCAGTGGGTGAGTGAATTGCTAGGTCCAATGATTACTAGCCATGAATCGCCACTGGCTAGCCTTACATTGTGCTCCAGGCCCTAACCTCAACCAGCGACTTTGACGGGGTCAAGTTTTGCTTTTGATATGCTCATCTAATAAGCATCCCAGAAGAACTATCGGTTAGATGCAATATTGGAAGAAGTGGATTTGTTTCATAGCTACAGGCTTCTTTTAGGCAAATGAAGCTTCAGAGGAGACGATGCAGCCTGTGAAAACCGTTTTCCTGATCTAATCATCTGAGTTAGGGAACTAAAGCTGGATAGTAGGAATGCCTGCTTTAATGTATTTTGTATCTTGTTTCATCCATCTTTTAAAAAATGGAAATTGCTTTTGGCAAAGAAAGTACAGGGTACTTTCTGAGACTAGGGCATGTCAATAGCTGAGCTTTTTAGTTAAAGCTGTAAATAAAGGTCTCTTGTTACTTGAAGACATAGGCTTTTCGAACAGGAGAAAGAAGAATAATACAGGAATTGCCAGCCACTATCCTGCATTCTCTGGAACCCTATATAGAAGGTACACTTTGGCTGTTTGCAGATCTTTCTTTCCACACTGTATCAATATTGGTTGTAATCTATCCTGCAGAGGTTTCTTAGAGAGACGAGATGCTTCCACTCACAATGTTAAGTCATTCTCTGTAGTGTAATGCAGGTTGTACAACTGTTGGTGTTTACTAGCAGTTAGCATTTGGAAAATGGCTAGTGTCTGAACAACTCAACTAGTGATACTTGGTTTCCTCATCATGTCTTTTCCCTGCTTTTTCTAGGTCTCAGATTTTTGGATAAATCAGGGACTTATATTAGTCTAATGGCTGCCTTTATATTTTTAACAGGTGTCTCTCCTGCTGCCATGCTCTGTACAGTCTGTTTCTTTCCAGCCAGAAACTGACAATCGCTCCAACTTTCCTAGTGACAGAGCATTTCACATATTTAAGAAACAAAGGTAAATTTCTTCTACTGTTACTGTATGGCTCACAGGGTATAATCTTTCCATGATTGTGAGCGAAGGATATTAAGAATGTCTCATGTATGCTACATGCTGTAGAAAAATCTTGAGATTTTCACTCTATTAAAATAAAAAAAAAAATTAAAAAAAAAGGTCTTTGTCCGTATTGACTGCAGGAGCTAAATGCTTAATGTCTTTAGAGAAGAACAGCCTAATTCTTCAGGAGTTATTGAGACTTCTGGTAAATGCCAGTACAGTGTGTCACCCTACTGGATTGCTTCTGCGTATAAATCTGGTATGCTTTTATTCTTCCTGCCACCTCCCTCCATGCTTGCAGCAACAGGGTGAGGGGAGAATGGCAAGTTGTCTTGGTCCTTTTTTCTCTCCTCATAGGTATTATTTCATGTGGCTTATTCTTTCCTGCCTCTCAGTCTTCAGTATGTCTGATAATGGGTGTTTTGGTCATTCCGTCAGAGCTTGGGCATAACAAGCTTAAGCACTTGCTGTCAAAGACATGGAAAATGGAAACTCGCTGAAGTACCACTAACATTAATGAGTTTTGCAAAGGTATCTGAATGCTTAGAGGCTTGAGTTATTTAATCCGAGGTAGATTCTTGCTGGGGAACTTAGGAGCGATTGAATATTCAGTTGTTGTTACTTCAAATTTTGACGAGTAGGAATTCATACCCTTAATATCTTGATTCACAGGGATATCTTTTATGAACTGCTGCGTGAATGGGAGGATAACCATGAAAAAACTGGCTGGGACTTCGAAAGAGTTCTGGGCAACAAGATCAGGTAGGAGTCTTATACAACTTCAGCTAGCTCTTTAATGTAGCTGAATTGCCTGTGCAGCGTACTAGACTCAGCATCCTAAGTTCCATGTTCTTCCTAATGGTCTTCTGCACTGATCTGTAGGGAGCTGTGCTTCTTGGAAGATACTGTCCATGTAGACTTGTTTCTATATTTAAAAGTATCAACTATTATCTTAAAGAAACAAGCTATAAGTGGCAAGGGCCTAATTTGATCAATCTTGGTGTAGCTCTTTCGCTGTTCATAATCACAGAAAGAAGCACTCTCACAAGTAGTATGTTGTGGTCTGAACATTTTCATTGTATACGCTTCTGTGTGCATTTCATGTTTCCAATGCCCCACTCCTCTGAAGTGTGGATAACTGTGTTATAATATGTTCAGAAGCTCTTAACTCTTCTAATTATTTTAGGGGGTTCTAGTGTATTGGCTCTGAAAACAAGACAGCTGTGTCTCTTTCTATGGAAAGCAAACTGTTTTATTCATTTATTGCTTTATCAAAATAGAGTATATATAAAGAAACTATTATGGTTTTGAAAGCAGTTGCCTTGTGGGTTTCTGTGTTAGTCTTAACCACCAGCCTACCCAAGTTATGTGTATGAAGGTGACATTTCACCATAGGAGCAAAACAAGGCTGAGATTTAAACTCAGAAATTTTCCTTCTCTTTGGGCATCAGAAGTACTGCTATTGCTGTTTTCTTACTTGCATACGTGTGAACTCAACTCACTGCTCTGCACAGGGGAGAGTGGGAGCTGAATGAGTTAATTTTCTTCCTAAATAACAGCATTATTGCAGGAAAGGAAGAGAGTCTTGTTATCTCTAGAACTGTTTGCTCTGCAGGTGCTCGGGGAGAATTTTTGTTTCCACGGTCAGCAGATGGGGCTTGGTGCTTGGGAAACCTGGTTAAAAAGATGCAGTGGCCTTTGGTGATAACTTTCTTAAAAGCAGTTATTTTATGCTTTCAGTGTAGTTTGAGGTTAAAACACTTTTTTGTACCACAGAGATCCAGTCAGCATTTTGTGATATTTTCCTTCACAGGGCCATGATGGCTCATCTATCTGCAACCTGCAACCACAGCCATTTTGCCAGGCTCTTTCAGAAACAGCTTATCCAGGTAAATGATTTGGGTTTTTTATGAAGATGTACATCAAAGCTGATTTGATCCTTCCTCGGTCTGAGAAAACAAACTGTGTCTTGCAAGTTTCTTTGAGATTTTCCTATTGAAACTTTTTTGGGAGAGCCAAGTCTTCAGGATGGGAATTTCCTTCCTTTTCCAGAAATACATATCAGTGATAAGTTACTGATGAACTCTGAGTAAATCAGGGATAAGGCACACTAAGCACATCATGAGCTGTAAGAATTAATTCTTCATGGTTATTTACTTTGACCTTCTAATTTTAGAACAGTTACAATTTTTAGAAATTTTAAGGATCTATTTTGACATGTATCTAATGCAGAGGTTCCCAGTTACGTTCATTAGCAACATAAGTGTACTACCTGCAAAGAGTCTCTAGTTCTTCTGTGTAATGCTGCAACAGGCTCTTTTTGATATAGTATTGCTGTGGTAATTTACAGGGGTTTTTTGGCCAGTTTCAAGCATCATCTGACTTCACTGTAGCTGAAGGAATGAAAAACGAAAAGATGCTTCTGACTGGAGTATAGATTTTCACTGTATTCTCTATAAATGGCTGGCTTATTGGTGGGTTCCTTTTGGATAGCAAAATAGACACAAAACCCCGCCTTAAGTATAAGCCCGCACACATTGCCAGGAAGTTGCAAACTGTTGGAATGTTGAAAATTCCTCTAGTGTCCAGTCTGAATTTGCATCAGTGCCCTGTCTGATGTGTGTGTTCAGGGAGATTGTGGGAAAGAGGTGAGGTGGACTTTGTTGCATCAACAGGACTTAATTAGTCCTAGGTACTGTATTTCTCCTTTATATCTGTGCCTTCTTAATGAAGACTGCAGGGTTTCACAAGCGTAACCAAAGATTTAAACTGATAACTAGCAGTCTTCAATGAATCTGATGTGTCTGACCAGAAAGTGATTTGCAGAATCTTGTGTATATTATGATACTCATGCCAAAAAGAACCTAGACTGAGGATTTGTGTCGAGGCCTGATAATTTAAAGGTTGGGAAGTGTAACAAGATGTTCTTTTGGGAGAGGACGATGCTCAATTTGGAATAAATGGACCTAGTAATTGTTCGCTTGGTATATACATACCTAAATGTTGCTTTTTAGTATCTCTCATTAAAACTATCCTGACTTAGATGTAGGAGTATGCAGTCATCTTTTCCCTTTACTCAGCATTGGTTAGGTTACATCTGGGATACCGTGTCCAGTTTTGGGCTCACCAGTATAAGAAACATACAGACTAACTAGAGCGAGTCCAGTGCAGGGCCACGTAAATGATTAAGGGACTGGAGCATTTTTCATATGAGGAGAAGCTGAGAGAGCTGGGACTGTTCAACCTGGAGAAGAAAAGGCTCCAGGTTATCTTAGCACTGTGTACAAATACCTGATGGGAGGGAATGAAGAAGAGGGAGCCAAATTCTTCTAAGTAGTGTTCACTGACAGCACATGAGGCAATGGACAGGAATTGAGAAAAAGGAAATTCCATGTGAACACAAGATGACACTTCTTTACTGTAAGGGTGGTCAAACACTGAAACAGGTTGCCCAGAGGGGTTGTGAAGTTCCAGTCTGTTGGAGACATTCAAAACCCAATTGGATATGGTCCTGGACAACTTGCTGTAGCTGACCCTAATTGAGCAAGAGGGTTGGATTAGATGATCCAAGAGGTCCTTTCCAACCCAAACAGTTCTGCAATTCTGTGATTCTTTGAGTCTTGTGTAGTATCTATGTGTTTGGGAGAGGGGGGCATTCATTTTTTAACTTTATTTAACTCTGTGGAGACTCCAGGAAAATCTGGTTGGGAGTGCATGGTGCAGTATCATGGTCCTTGGAGACTGGGCTAAAGATCCTACTGAGTGGTTCATGAAGCCATGCGAGTGATAGGTGTGCTCTCCACACATCCAGATGTAGTCTGCTAGATGTGCCCAAGTTAGATGTATAGGATCGGAATTCCATCTCTCAAGATCTCCAGGCTGTTTATGGCCAAGGTGGGTAGCATGTTTTGGCATGAGGAAAAGAAATCTTCTGTAGTGGGCTGCCTGAAAAGGCCATGCTTGGATTACTCCTAAAACAAAGCCTCGTGAGGAAGGGAGAATATGTGGGGCGAGAGATGAAGTGAAATGATGCCTTACTACAAATTTTCCATCTCGCTACTCTTTCTGTCTCCTGAAGATGTGTAAAGGTCCTACTGGAGGTGGCGCAAGCTGGGGAGACACCCCAGACCAGGATGTCCTTAATATGCTGGGTTCTGATAATTTGAGCCGTCTGAAGAGGCTGCAGGAAAGATTTATCGTTCCTCAGAGCATCAGAGGACCTTGTCCACCCCCTTCATTCCCAGGGTGCCAGCAGTTCTTCAGGGACTTCATCCTCAGCGCAGGAAGGTTAGCTGCCTGTGGTTGCTGTTTCCTTGGTGAAGTGTGTGGGCGAGTGGGGAACACCAGCATGTTGCTCTTGCAGCGGGGGAGCAGCAGGGAGTTGTCCGGAGAGCTTGGGGCATGGTGTAACTTAGGCAGAGCATATCAGAAATGTTTTTAAGCTGCATAATACCACACTTAGTGTTCTTGGCCAGCACGCACAGTGAACGTGTTAATACGCAGGTTCTGTCTGGAGCACAGCGTGTGTTTGTGTGCTACATTAGGCTAGACTACATGGTAATAATCTTCCTTCTATAAAACCATAATATCTTGTCACAGGCCATCAGCATTTCCCAGTGCCAAGGCGTGCAATGCAAGGGTACTGGACTGGCCAAGTGTTTCTTGTGTGGTAGTGCATGAAGCTAAGGAGTTAGAGGATGAAGCCAGGTTCATGGTTTTGTTTAATGAGTTTTTCACAATCCACAGCATGGAGGAGTTGTGATCTATGGGAGATTTGAATCTTCAGTTACTTTACAGCTTCCTGCTTCGACAGATCCGTATTATTGTCCTTATGCTGGGACTTGCTAAATAGCGTCTGTTTGAAGAAGTACAAAATAAGAGCAGAAAAGAAGGGATTCAGCCAGTACTAGTCTTGTCCCCTGCTTGCTTGTCTTCAATCTGTTACATTGGATGTCTGCTGATGCTTGATACAACTCATGAGACAAGCTTGAAATTTTGCAGTGTGTTAGTTGAGGTTTTACTGCTGTTTTCAGCCCAGTCTGACTCATCATCATCTTTTGCTGAAGTTACCAGTTCAATCAGCATCTGATGGATAGTCTGTGCCTGAAGATACTCGAACTGGATGGCCTTACTCTGGTGGAGCATGAGCACAGTGATGGGGAAGCAGATATGGATGAACAGGTAAGCTTGTTTTTTGCGAACACATCTGGCAGAAATTTCCCTGAACTGTTCCTGTACCTAAAGAATTACTGGCTTGATTGTGAGTTGACTTGTAGCTTCCACTGCTGTATTTGCAGGACAAGAGCTTCTTCGTTTGGTTTTGTCATAACTCTGCAACTTGGTTATGGATGTCTGAGCCCCTTGCCATTTACTTGCATACTTCAGGGTGCTTCACAGAACTGTGTCATAAGAGATGATGCACAATAGTTTGAGAAGTGCGAGCCTCTTTTTAGGTTATTAGTACCCTGTGTTAGATCAATGAAATAACCGAGTCCGGTTGTTGCACTCAGTTGCAATAGTTCCTTGTTACTTTTCCACGTAGAAAGATTTTAGTTAGAATTAGTTTGTAGTCATGCCTATTCATACCTGTTCAGATGTTTCTTCACTGATCTGTGCCTGTCAGAGGTGTCATAGCTTATAGTCTATTAGCAAAGTAGCAGCCAAAGGTTCATGAAAACTTGCAGAGCAGTAATGGTATAAAGGAGGCAACATGAGATCAGCTCTGTGCCCTCTCATTGACTCCAAAGTTGTTAATACGAAGATGTGATTGAGCAGCTGCTTGTTTTAGAAAGCTCTTGAATTTATTTCTTCTCGCTATAAGTGAAGCCATGGAGGCAGAAGCAATTTAAAATGCTTGATAAATATGTATTTTGGAAACGTACCTTTATTAAAAGCAGTGATGAAGCTATGTGGACCTTTTGCACGAAGAGAATGGAAGTTTAGTGTAGGTAGTTGCTTTGCCAGTTTAGGGTAGCATTGCCCCAGCTTGCTTTTCTTCATTTCAGGATGAAAAGAAGCGTTTCACTGTGGTCCTGTTGAGCCTACGACTCCTTGCCAAGTTCCTGGGGTTTCTTGTTTTCTTGCCATATCGCACTTTGGAGCAACCAACTAGAGACTTGCAAGACTCTGCAGTAGCGTTAAGAAACCAAGTAAGAAACCGAACTCTTTTAAGAAATCTAACGCGGCCTTTGGTTGACAGGCAGGTTTTCTAATCCAAGGAGGGGATTATGAATAGTTATGCCCTTTCAAAGCAAGCCAGTGGTTCCTGAGATGATGTTATACTGTTCTGTACCGCTACTGCATATTCTGGGGTTGGGAATAAAGGAAAGAAGAGTTTGTGTAAGCTAGAAAAGAGAGAGAATGCACTAATGGTGAGGTACTCAAGTCTTCTGTTATTTCTGGTAATCTGGGGCTGTCATACCAGAACTCTGACCTAGCTAAGACGACTTGTATTTATAGTGTAAAATCCAGCTACCAGGAATGTTTTTGTTAGTTTCGCACCCATCTCCTAGAGTGTGTCATCTGAATGCAAGGAGGCAGGGGTAGACCTTGACTCCACTCATACATAGTCAGGCTTACAGCCTTACTTTTGAAAGTCCCAGTGGGACCCCTGGTTGCCATCATAGTGTGGTTTTTACTCTGCTTGTGTGCAAAGAAATGTTTTCATTAGCCAGAAAGTCACCTCTTATTTGTACAGAAGATGAAATCCTGGAAAGAAAAGTCATGATATAGATAAAGTTTTTCTTTAAGTATCAAAAGGTAACTTCAAGCTGCTGTTTTAACTTCTGTTGTCCATTAAGACCCTGCCTGTACTGGATGTATTCAAGCTTCTGAGACAATCTATTCGGGATCAACGTTCTATCCTGACTATTCCTTGGATTGTGGAGTACCTTTCCCTTGTGGATCATATTGCTCCTTTCCTTGATTACTACAGGAAAGTATTTTGTCTCTTGCTGCAGGTATACAGGTAAGAGCCTGGGACAGGATATTTGTTTAAGAACTTTTCTGTGAGGGTTTGCTTGCTTAGTTGAGAGGCCTGGTGTTTGAGGATGCAGGCTGGCCCTAGTTTGAGATTCTTATAAAAGTACAATTTTTTTGTGCAAATCATGAGCACTTCTTATCTTACATAAGGCTGCAAAGGGAGCACATCCTAAACTCGGAGGTTAATATTTGATTTAAATATGTGGCTTTTCATTAAGTAAACAAAATTCTTTAAATCCACACTCACTCCTTCTACATCTGCAGCTGTGAATTTTAAACCTTGAATTTGAACCTTAAACCTACAAGGTCTTCCATGCCTAAATAATGCTCTAGTTTTGTTTCCTGTATGCATGAGGAAAATTCGAAGCACATTCTAGAGAGTTACTTCACACTGGCTTTTCCAGTGTAAACTTAAAACAGCATGTTATTCAGATGCATACGTACAAAAAAGTAGAGCTTGCTCTCCACTCTTTAGGCAGACAAGTAGGGAATGTGTACATAGTGGCAAATAGTATAATTAGAAAGTGAGTGGATTGGGATTTTTTTTTTTCGTAATTAAAATTGAGCTACTGAAATCTAACACTCTCTCTTGCTGCTTTTGCTGCACGGCAGGTTAATGGTCCTTTCTGAAGATAAGGAGATAAGTTTCCTGAACAAGCTGCTGATCCTTGCAGTTCTGGGTTGGCTTTTTCAGGTAGAGTCTCCTGTGTGCACACAGCTCTTCCCTGAAGAAAAAGGAGGGCACAGAACTCAATAGAAAATAGTATTGAAATGAATTAAAACACTGCAAAACAGGGCTCAGTTTTGGGGCCGGTCCTGT